TGAGCCAGTGACTTGTTCACAACACAAGCCAATTAGAGCCTCTTCAGCCACAAGGGGCCAGGTAATCAAATATGAATAAAGGAGCTCAGGGTCAAAGGCAAACCTTCTCTTAGCCCACCGGGAAACCTACTAGACTTATTATGACCTCTTTCAAGTGTCTTGTTCCATAAACCAGGACACAGAGAGTGGGGACCTTCCTGTTAAATGAAAATTCCCAGCCAGACTTAAAATAATTTGCACAGAAACAGGACTCCCAAGAAGTCTTGTGTTCTCATCTTAGCTTTTTCACATTCGGTGTACATCTTCGTGGAGGTGAGTGCCGGTGGGACGGCGTTCCTGCGGGACTGGAGGAGCCAGGGCCGTGCTGGGAACACACGCTGCCAGCCGACAGGATTCGAAGGGCACTCAGCCGAGCCTTCAAACCCAGCGAAGCTCAGGCTCCAAGTCAAGCATGTTAAGAAATCATTCTTGGATCAACTGGTCCTTTAGCAGTCTTAATGACTTAATCAACTTCTTCAGTGAATTGAATCTGTTCAAGTTGGCAAATTATTCTGATAAAAGCTATCCTTCCAACTATTAGAGACTCGGCGCCGCTATGGAAGATCGAACGAAGCCCTTGATAGTCTGGGTCAATGTTGACTGTGCCAGTTGGACAGACAAAGCACATGGGGATTAATATGTCCTAGAGCCGTCAGGTAGCACTGTTGAGGTTTTAGCAAGGTGGTTTAGAGCAAGGAGTTTGAGACACAAAAAGGCCTGGATTTGAATTTGGGTCAACTCACTTCTAGCTCAGTAACCTTGAGCTAACAGGTTACCTAATCTTATGAATCTTAGTTTCCTCATCTGCTCAATGGGTATGAATATAATAAGTTATCTTGCATTTCCTGTGAATACTAAATAGAAAAATGGATAGAATTGTGATGTATAATTCTCTGTGTAGAGTAGATGCTCTGTAGATAGTAGCAATTTAGAATTTTTTTTTCACATGTGCTATTTTATTTATTATTTTTTATTAATTAATTTATTTTTGTTATAGATGTTTCTCCTTTCCCCCCCATTGACACTCTCCTCCTGATTCCCCCTCCCCCAGCATACTTGTCTATGTCCATTGGTTACTCATACATGCATATAAGTTCTGTGGTGTAACTCTTCCCTCCCCCAACCCCTCTTCTGAGGTTGGTCAGTCTCTACCCCACATTCATCTCTGGGTCCATTCTGTTCATCAGTTTGTTTTGTTGTTTATATTCCACAAATAAGTGAGATCATGTGATATTTGTCTTTCTCTGATTGGCTTATAGAACTATTTTTTAAATTTAATTTATTTTTCTTTATTGATTTTAGAGAGTACGAAAGGGAGAGGGAGAGAGATGGGAACATTGATGGGAAAAAACACCAACTGTCCGCCTCCTGCATGCCCCTCCCCCCCCCAATGGAGACTGGTCCCACAACCTGGGCATGTGCCCTGACTGGGATTTGAACCAGTGACCTCTTGGTGCATGGGTCGACGCTCAACCACTGAGCCACACAGCTGGGCTAGAATTATTTTCATTAGTTGGGGTAATCACAAAGATTTTGTCATGATCTAACTTCTCTGAACTTCGGTTTTCTAAACTCTCACTTAGGGTAATGCTAGCACCTATTTCATATTGCTGCTGTGATTAAAAGCCAAATTCAGGCTGCCATGCTCTTATTCCAGGGCTCCTGGCATTTCATCCTCCTCCAGTCCAGTGGCTTTCCTTTGTATCATCCTGTTTTATTTCATCCTTAGCATTTATCACTGTTTGAATTTATCTTATATCTTTATCACCTGTACATGCTTTCTCCACAAGCACCGGGATAATGTCTATCTTCTTCAAATCTATATCCCAAGCAACCTAGAACAGAGCTTGGCACAGAGCAGGTAGTCAATATTTAGCTGTTGAATGAATCAATGGATTAATTAATCCTTTCTCAGCATCCCCATTTACAGCAAATTGTAAACATAGTACATAGAGTCTCATGAGCCCTTCACTCAGCTGTCCTGAGTTGACATCTTATACAACAAGAGTATGTCTAAGTCAGGAAATTGATAGTGGTCTTTTCAAACTAAAAATTAAATCAGGTCTTGGTCCTATTTACCTGCCTAGTGTCTTCCCCACTTTACTTTGAATAAAATCTGCTTCCTCTATCCTACAAGGCCCTTGATGACTTGGTTCTTCGAAACTCAGAAAGATCTCTCGCCTCTCCCCTTCCGTGGGGTGTCCCGGGCCCTGATGCTGCTCCTGCCAGTCCTTCAGAGGCACCTGGAGGTCTCCCAGTGCACTTGGACATGCTCGCCTGTCCGCCTGACGTCTCCCACGACCCACTCCCTTACTCTGCGGGCCTCAGAGAGGCTGTCGCCGGCCATTCTATTCCACTCCTCCCCGCCACTGTGCCTCATTTCTTTTCTTCGGAGCAGTGATCAAAATGTATTCTTACGTACTTGTTCTGCTTCCCTGTTTGTCATTTGAGTCTTTCAGTCTTGAGGGTAAGCTCCGAGATGTCAGGGGCTGCTACTCGTCTAGAAATTTGACTTAAAAAACTCAGGCTTATCCCTCAATATCCAATAGCAAACTGACATTTGTAGAGGGCTGCAAAGTTCATCAACCTTTCCGTACACACCCAGGTCAGTCCTTGTCGTACCCTCTGAGGGGGATTTCTGCATCTCCCTTTTACAGACAGGTCATCACAGTCATGCACATTGATCACTGCGTGGGTGATTTCAATCCTGTCTGCTGGCCGGCCTCTGATTTCAGACACAGCTGTGAAGGATTGTTTCTGATCTTGTTGATGGTGACCCCTTCATGCATGCACCCTCCAGGGCTCCCACTTATCCTTCCTCAGGCCACTGTCCCCGAGAATGGGGGAGGGGAGGGTAGTGATAACTCGTGCCTTACCCCAGCCCACTGCCTAATAGTTGTTAGGGCTCAAGGCTTATTTCTCCAAAATCGCAGGAGCCTGTTCAGTCTACATTTGTACCTACAGCCTGCAAATGTGGGGGAGTTTCTACCCCTGTGGGCAAATCTCAACCAACGTGGGCTGAGGGTTGGTAAATATTTTCGCTCCTGTTCCCTGATGGGAAATTACTGGAGCCATTCTGAACCCTACTCTGACCCTGACGGATGTGAGCTCCTACAGCCTCAGCAGCGACACCAGTGATGCAACCTTTTCTCCGCTTTTCCTCCTCGCCTGTCTCACTCTCCCCTGCCCTCCCTCTCGCCTCCTGGAATCGTCTTCTCTTGCTTTCGGGGGAACCAAACTCAGTGCCTACTGTGTGCCAGGAGCTGTTCCCAGGTGGCTTACCTTTTCCATCCTGTGATCAGGCCTACCCTGCACATACACCGTTCTCTCCATTGCTGACACGGTCAATGGCCTGAGTGAGAAGTTAAGCATCTTGCCAAGGTCATCTATTGACCTGTCCACATCCCCTAATGATTGAGGATGCTCCCGGGGGGTCAACTCCTCTGTTTCCAGTCTGCACTTGCTTTCAGGCTGTGTCTTCAGAAAAGTCCCAGGGCTTTGGCAAAGGCCTTAGGAAGAAGCAGGAGAGTCTAGTACATGGCAGTACAGGGATTGAGCCTCGCTGGTCAGAGCTCAGAGCCCACCCTTCTTCCTTGTATGCTTCATCCCCTCCCCAGGACCAAGCACTGGAAGGTGGAGTCACAGGAGAAGAGCAGCTAGTGAGGAGGGAAGCTGCGATTCTGATTAGGTCTACAGGACATGCAGACCTCGCTCTCCCGCTCACAGGTTGCTCGCCTTCCTAAACGGCCAGATCTGCTGCCCTTTTCTTGAAACCAGAAGGAACTGAGCCAGCTCAGTGAATTCTGCGTCGGGTCACAGCAGCCTGTGAATCTGTGGCGGACTGTGGAAGTGTGTCTCTATCTCCAACAAGGCAGGGAGTGCTTTCCGTTTACGAGATCCCCGATATGCTGCAGGCTGCTAAAAAGAACTGCTGGTTATGAGGGATTTTTGGCTTTGGAGAGAGAGTTCACGACAGTACAAGAAACAGAGGCCACTGGCTCTGGGGTGATGCTGAAGGAAGCAGCCGAATCCAGATATTGTGCCAGGGAATGCGAGGTGGATGGGGCAGAACTTGGCCAGATCCCCATCCCATTCCCAACCCACTGCCCGGGAGAGGTTAGGAGTCCAGGCTTGTTTCCTTTGCCCAGGACGTTTTTCATTCTGCCCTCCTCCACTCCATTCTCTACCCAGCGGCCACTGAGATCTTCCCAGAAAGCGCTGTGCCCTCCTCTGCTTCAAATCCTCAGCATCTCTAGGGCAGAGACGGAGTTCTGGATCATGGCCTCCACACAGGGTTTCACTCGCACACCCCTCAGCAGCCACCCCTTGTCACAGAGCCCCGTTCACTCATTACCCTCTCGCAACCCCACTTGTCCATTCTGCCTCCATCCATCTGAGGGCTTCGCAAGGCTGCTCTCCGCCTGGGACTTTGCCCTCCCACCTGTCCTGGTGACACTTTGTGCAGTCTCCAGGCCCGAGGCTCCCTGACCTCCCTCTGATGAGCTCAGGCCCTCTGACCAGTGTTCTCACGGACCCCGTGCCAATCTGTTGCACACACACAGTCAGGACATCGTTATTTTAACGTCTGTTTCTCTGAACAGAGGGTACGTTTCTCAAGATAGGGTGTGTTTCTGCCTTTGCTTGCTCTCCTGTCCCCAGTGCATTGCATAGTGATGGGTATATAGAAGGTTCTAGAACAGTGCAATGAATGAATGAACACTACTGACCTCATGAAACAAAGACAGGGTAAGAGATTGGAAACATTGTGCATTTACCTCTTTTTCTGTAATTAAAAACACTTTTAAAAATATTTTTTCTTTATTAATTTTAGAGAGAAAGGGGGGAGAGAGAGAAATAGAAACATCAATGAGAGAAAACATCAACTGGCCGCCTCCTGCATGCCCCCCACTGAGGATCGAGCCTACAACCTGGGCATGTGCCCTGACCGAGAATTGAACCAGTGACCTCTTGGTGCATGGGTTGATGCTCAATCAGTGAGCCACATTTGACAGGCTACATTTACCTCTTGTTCTTTTGTTGTTAAAGCTAAAGCAGGTTCTATTGTGATTCTCCATTATCCAGCCGGCATTGTATGTAATAACTTTATTAAGGTCAAATAGATATCACAATACATATTTATCTCAGAGGATCCAGACACTGGTTACAGATATCATCTAACACTTTTTTTGTGTGTGTTAAAGTGTTTCCAACATCACAGATCACACAATGAGCTTGTACATTGATACCAACTTTTATCTAGAAACATAGATTTCCCTCAAATTTGACCCTGGTGCTTCAACTGAGTTAAAACAAAGAGTCAGAAATTGGCATTTTCTTGATAATTCATTCATTCTAAGGAATCTTTCATGAAAACCCTTTTGAGATATGGAGTGGCTCATGAAAGTAACTTTTAATTTACGGGTAACATTAAAATTAGAATTAGTAATTAGTAAGTTGAGCCAAGACTTGGAAAATTTAATAACTGAATTGAAGAACATATTAACTTTATGAACAAATAGGATTTAAAAGTTTAGCTCGTAGTCTAGGTTCTACAGAGTATCCTCTTTAATATGTCAACACAATAGCTTCTTGTCTACGGTGTCTGATATCTGCATTGCTATTATTCTAAGAAAACAGCACTTTATAAGCACAAACAGTTATTGGGACTTTTGTTCTTGGTCCATAGGATAAGATTCACAAAATACCATAGAAAGTTACAAGAATGTAAATATTTAGCTAAGTAAATAGGATAAATATTGGGCAATTATCATATTAACACTGAATATCTACTAATGGGGAAAAAAGAACCCCGAACCTTAGATATAATGCATTCAGAATTGGTGAAGCCAGAGAAACAAAGTTGCAAGTATACAAAGTATGAATGTACTTTTTGAAATACCCATTTAACAAATTCATGGTGCAAACTGGAAAATTCTCATGAGTACCACTGAGATGTTCATTTTGTGAGAAAATGCCTATTCATGCACTAAATCATATGAGTATTGATTCATCAAGTAAAAAAAAGAAAAAAAACAGAGTAACTGTCTGAAACAAATACTTAGAGATTCACAATCCTATAGGGCCTAAAACTAAAAAATAATACATGCACATTGTGATACACCAAATTGTCTTATAGAAACCATTAAAATGCATAGGAAAACCTCAGTGCTATTTAGTTTACTTTATGCATATTACATACTAGAGACTCATACTAGAGACATAGAAAACGACCATGAAAGTATCTGTGTATATAACAAGGTACAATATCCAGTTAGCCATCTTTGATGAATAATAAATCTCATGTCATCTCTAAGTACTGTTTATCATGACACAGGCCTTAATGAGGATTACAGATCTCTGATTTACATTCAACACTCTCTGCATTAATAAGTGACTGAAACTCTTAAAAAATTCTTCTGCCGCTGGAAGGTGGTGAGGCTATCTCCAGAAGAATGCAAGAACTACCCTGTTAAATTGGATTGGCAAAGGAGGCAGGGCCACTGGACTGTTGGCCAAACTCATCGGAGGACAGCCCCAGACTGGCCTGCTGGCTGTACCCCGCTCCGGACCCATAGCTGTCTTGGTTGTACCTGCCTTGGTTATAGCTGCTCGCGTGCTTCTCCATCGGGTCTGGGAGATATCTCTGTCCTGAGGAATGCCAGCCGGTCTCCTTGAAGACAAACCAGATGTTTCCAGCCCAGAGGATGAAGTTCAAGAATCCAAAGACCTGAAGGAAAAGCAAAGCAAGTGAATTAATGAAATGCATAGAAAGCCGAGAAAAATCTCAATTTCAGAAAAGTCCTTCACAATACAAAAGGTCACTGTTCACTCCAACGCCGAGGACACCTGACTGCTGCTGAGTGCCTCCCACGCGTGGGCACTGCGTGCAGCTTGTGTGTCCGTCCAGCTCATCTAAGAGGAAGGTGCCATTATCATACCACATCAAAGGTGTGAAAACTGAGGCTAGGCAAGGCTAAGGACCTTGTTCAAGGTCACCTGACTTGGTAAGCAGGAGCTCTCAGATTCAAAGCCCTTTTCTGTCTGACTCCATAGCCTGAGCCTTTACCAAAATCTCCCCGAATGGCCATTCCTTACGGTGTGTAGGACATCTCCAAGGGGTACGGGGTTATTTTCATTTTAATGATGGGGCATTAATTCATAAGGTTGCCTTCACTTCATGGTTAGAGATACCACTTTTCAAAGTATTGTAATGATATAAAGGAAATGAGTCCATTGACGAAAAAGCAGGACTGAGCAGTGGTGCGGGGAATGCAGACAAGGAAGTGCGTGATGGCGTGCAGACAGGTTGCCCCTCTGAGTAACTGTCCCTCTGTGCCTCTCACATTCCGGAGAGAACACTGAGCCCAGACTAGGCACAAGGTGCAGGCTTCCGAGAGGCATGCAGTGTTTTCCCAAGAACCGGTGGAGGTCCTTCCTATGGAAATTCCTCTCATTCTCCAGAAGTGTGTCCTTGGCGAGTCAGAGGACCAGGTGTCAAGTTGGATGAAGCAGAAGTGTTCGCCGCTGCCAGAGGCCCAGACACAACAGCGGATCTGCGACCCCCAGAGCAGACTGGTTGGCCTGGGAACTAACCCCAGTCCGTCTGGTGGAGACAGATCACAACAGCAGCGTACACAGCTGTAATGACGTTAAAAGTACATTTAGTAACCACTCCAGCACGACACTGACCCATCAAAATGGACTTGAGCCGCAGCCCTGGAGCAGGGTTACTGGGAGTTGTGAGGAGTCGAAATGTATCCCTGGGTTGCTGAATGGTGGGGGGTCCAGGATGCCCTGGGAGTGCGAGTGGGCAGCTGGCATGGCCAAGATGAGTGGTCTTGGGGGCTTGGAGCACGACCTACTTACCAAAGAATTTCAATATTTTAGCAGCAGTAGAATCGGGCGGACCAACTGAATATCAGCCTTGGAGTGGTGCCCACAGGCGTTGGAATCAGGGTGGCCTGGGCTCGGCAATTTCTTGCTCTATGACCTTAGACAGGCAGGCAGCCTCCGAACTCAGCATTTCGTTCTCCTCATATGACATGAAAACAGTTATTCCCTCCGTGGGGGAAAGACGCGCACAAAGCAGCTAGACAGTGTCGCGCACCTTAGTCGACGCTCACAGATGGCTAAGTGATGCTCTGAAACACCTCCTCAAATACCTCCGTGACTTGTTTTCAGCTGACTCTTTTGCTGCAGCGTGAATTGCAGCAGGGCTTGGCCAGCGAGGCCATGTTCTCGAGGATGTCAAGAGCCCAACCTGAGTATCTGGGCCCCTAATTGATTGACTTGAAGACTGGCTTATCCAGACCCCCTCCCCTCCTTTCCTTCTTTCCTCTGTCCCATTCCATCCTCTTCCTCTCCTTGAACGTTGACTGACCTGTGCTGTGCTCTAGGTTCCTTGCTGAGGGAGATGAAAAACATAAATAAGGCGCTTGTACTAGTGTAATAGCTGCATTATCAGCATGAATTGGGTAATCACTGACATAACTGCAATTTACGTATAGGTCCTTTTAACTATATAATAACTAGGATATTTCCCATCAAAGAGGCAATCTTGGTTAAATTGTGCTTCTGTAAGTATATGTCAATATTATATGTAAGTAGAAAAAATTATCAAGGAATCTTTTCATCTATGAAGGCCTGGCTCTGCCGGGGGCTCTAATTCTGTGTTTTCTATTCATTGGTCTCTTTCCCCCCCCCATGATGCTTGGTTTCTAAAACAGGAATGTTCTTTTGTTGTGCAGAAGCCTTTTATTTTGATGTAGTTACATTTGTTTATTTTTGTCCTTTGTTTCTCTTGCCCTAGGCGATGCATTGGTGAAAGTTCTGTTGGTGAGATGTCTGTTTGCTGCCTACGTTTCCTTCTAGAATTTTCATGGTTTCACGCCTGAAATACCAATCAGAAAGAATATATGCACCCCTATGTTTATAGCAGTGCTATTTACAGTCGCTAAGATCTGGAAACAGCCCAAGTGTCCATTAGTAGACGAATGGATAAAAAAGTTGTGGTACATATACACAGTGGAGTACTATGCAGCTGTAAGAAAGAAAGATCTCTTACCCTTTGAGATGACACAGAATGACCTGGAAAGTATTATGCTAAGCAAAACAAGCCAGTCAGAGAAAGACAAGTATCATATTATCTCACTTATACACAGAATCTAATGAACAAAATAAACTGACAAACAAAATAGATCCAGAGTCTTGGAAGCAGGGAACAGACTGAGGAACCTCAAAGGGAAGAGGGGAGGGAGGCGAGAAGAGATAAACCAAAGAACTTCTGTGCATATATGCACAACCAATGGACACAGAACATGGTGAGGTGAAGGCAGGGGGAGCGTGGGAGCTGGGAAGAGGGGGTCAATGGGGGGAATAAGAGGGAACATCTGTAATATTTTCAACAATAAAGAAATTAAAATAATTAAATAACTAAATAAGGAATGCTCAGGAAGAATATAGAAATCAGAAGAAACCTGAAACACTAATTTGAAAGAATATATGCACCCCTATGTTGACTGCAACATTATTTACAATAGCCAAGATTTGAAAGCAGCTCAAGTGTCATTAGTAAATGAATAGATAAAAAAAACCTGTGGTATGATTGCACACTGGAATATTACTATGCAGCTGTAAAAAGGAAGAAAATGTTACCCTTTTGTAACAGCATGGATGGACCTCGGAATGTTATGCTACGTGAAATAGGCCAGTCAGAGAAGACAAGTACCATATGATTTCACTCATACGTGGAACTTAATGAACAAACTAAACTACCAAGCATAATAGAGACAGACTCATAGAGAGAGAGAGAGCAGACAGGTTGGGGTCGGGCGGTGGGACTGAGCAAAAAAGAAGAGAGAGAGAGAGAGAGAGAGAGAGAGAAAGAGAGAGAGAGAGAGAACTGAGGGACATGGAAAACAGTATGGTGTTTGTGAGGATGGAGGTCAATAGAGGGGATAAATGGTGATAGAAAAATGAAATAAAATAGAATATGTATCTGCAAAAGTAAATAAATAAACTATTACCAACTTAAAAGAAAAATGTAAACAAGGTTTTCCTGTGAGCGTATCTAAGGAGCAGGGATACCTTACTCTATTCTTACCACAGAGATAGCAGATCTCATGGTTGGCACATTTTAGGGGCACACAGGCCCTTGAACATTTTTGTGCCATTGTGTTGCAACTTAAACTGGAGGTAGGATTTTGACTCGGGCTCAGATGTGAGGACAAGTAGCATGAGAAAGGAGGAGGAGATAAAATCTAGAAGATCGGAGAGAATGTGTCAAGAGAAGCTGGAGAAACAGACGTGGAAATTATGGACAGAAGGGCAGTGAACTTTTGTAAGGATAGCCAAGAGATTAAAAACCATTCTCTCTTTTCATTCCCTTGTGAGGTTCTAACACCAAATGAAATTTAAGGAAATAAATGCATTTTTGTAGCAGCTTTTCTTGGAAACTTACTGAACATTTGCCACCTGCCAGGCACTGTGCTAAGCTAAGTACTTGTGTATTAATGCACCAAATCCTCTCAACAGTCCTGGGAGGGCTCTCACAATATCCCAGTTTGCAGATGATGAAGGAACTATAGAATTTTTTTTAAATCCTCACCCGAGGACATTTTTTTTTTTAATCAGAGCAGGAGGGAGAGAGGGAGGAAGAGAGAGAAACACCGATGTGAGAGACACACATCAACTGGCTGCCACTCACACAACCCCAACCGGGGCCAGGGACAACCGAGGTATGTGCCCTTAGTGGGAACAGAACCCAGGACTCTCTGGTCCGAGGGCCGATGCTCTAACTGTTGAGCCAAACCGGCCAGGGCGGAACTATGGATTTATAGATGATATAACTGAGTTAGAAAGCGTACTTTGTCTGAGACCAGTCAGTTACTGAGCAGTGGAGCCGGAACCCAAGCCCAGCAGATCAGCTGCAGAACCGAGCCCTTCACTGCTCTGAGTGGCAACAGCGATAGGAGAACTTGGCTCGAGTCTGGCATCGCTTTAACCGCTTGAGAAGCCCTAGCAAATCCCTTCAGCTCGGCTCCCTGCATTTGAAATGTCTGGATGGTTCACCTACCTATTATTGTTATGGTGAAATTATAGATGCCAGAGTGCTTTGCAGAAAGTAAATTGTTACTCAGGTAGAAAATAAAGTTATTGCTTGAACCATTAACTTGTAGAGGTCATCTTTCAGGGTATCTGTCTGGCTCCTTCTTCAAAACCTACACTTGCCCAACAGGATGGGTTCTGTGACCCATGTCCCATTGCACAATTGCTCCCATCCCCCAGACAAACTGATGAGACCAAGGTGAACACCTGGCCCAACACGGGCTGATGACATTCCACCAGAAATCTTGGATTAGACCTGAGTGACTTTTGCTCAGTTCAAGATAGTTCTTTCTTTCTTTCTTTCTTTCTTTCTTTCTTTCTTTCTTTCTTTCTTTCTTTCTTTCTTTCTTTCTTTCTTTCTTTCTTTTCTTTAATGATTTTAGAGAGAGAGGAAGGGAGAGGGAGAAAGAAAGATAAAAACATCAGTGAGAGAGAACATTGATTGGCCGCCTCCTGCATGGCCCCCACTGGGGATTTGGCCCACAACCTGGGCATGTGCCCTGACCAGGAGTTGAACCGGTGACCTCTTGGTGCATGGATCGATGCTCAACCACTGAGCCACACCGACTGGGGCCAACCTAGTTCTTTAAGAAGAAACATAAACTCAGGAACTATAGGGTGGCATTCTTCTCTTGTGTGAGCAAAAGAAAAAATTCCATCTGATAAGAGGGAATAATGTAGCACTCACGCAGACAGAACCAGAGATGAGGGAGGAGGGGACAACTGTTCAGTTTCCTGCCAGCTTTCCAAGTCCTGGCCCTGGGTTCTGCCCTTGGAAGACACATTTTAAGTATTTTTTCAATTCTTTTCTATTTTTTGTCAAAAGCTAGTTCAATATGATTTAAAGCCAAACAAGTCTGTAATGAAAAGAAAAAAAAAGGCTGCAGTTTGGCAGATGGGCATACTTCCCCTCTGCTCTCGGGATGTGATTGCCTTCACAGAGCCGAGTGCAGTCAGTGACCAGAGCGCCGTCCTGGAGCTCGGCATTCTGAGCAGAACCACGCAAGGTTAGATGCAATTGCCATCGATCGCAACTTGATGAGACCATTCTTCAGTGTCTGGCATCTAGAACCTCGGTCCTGCTCGAGATGCTGTTTTTTTTTAGAGCCTGTTTCTTCAGGTCTCATCATTTTTCTGAGCTACTTCCCTGCTGACGTAAGTCAGGGTCAGTTTCTGTTTCTTGCAACCCTAACATTCTAATGCATACAGACACTGATGATAGAAGAGGGTGTGCAAAGAATGGATTTCAGGGGTATAGGGATTGTTTTGCATGAGCCAGTTTGAGCTGAGTTTTCCTGTCACTAGGAACTGGAAGACCTTGATGGATATGGACCCATAAGTATAACAAAACCAGTCCTATCCCGTCACACCTCGTATTATTTGGTTTCCATCCATGCTCAGGTTTGGTTTTAAGAGATACATCACATTGCATCTCATTCCTATATCTTGGTCTAAAACTTCTTAGAGACATCAGAAATAAAATTAAATGGACTGTGCAGGTTGTCATAATTTATATAGATTATTCATTAAACTAAAAAATACATCAAATAACTTTAACTTTGTTTTCTTAGACTTTGAGATCATGGTTACATGAACTTGTATCAAGTACTGCCTATAAAATTACAGAAGCAGTGGAATATATTTTAATGTACACCTTAAAGTGTTTATCCACAGGTGTGGCCAACAACAAATAAAAATGGCTATAAGCCCTGGCCACTGTGGCTCAGTTGGTTGGAGCCTTGTCCTGTACACCAAAAGGTTGCTGGTCGGATCCCCTGTCAGGCACATACCTAGGTTGCAGGTTCGAACCCTGGTTGGGATGCATACAGGAGGCAACTGATCAATGTTTGTCTCTCACATCAATGTTTCTCTCTCCCTCTCTCTTAAATCAATCAATCAATCAATCAATCAATCAATCAATCAAACAAGCAAGCAAGCAGTCAATTGCTGTGAGACACTGATACATAGTCTATTTCTATGTTCACTATGTTACCCAGGCAAGATTCACAGCCAAATTATCAGGAGCTGGATAGCAATCCTCTTTTCTTCTTATAAACCTCCTCAGATTAAATTTCAGAAAGGTGAAGACATGTCAGTTAACCTCGAGGCAAAGTGAATTATTTTCTGGGGTTGCTAAAGAATGTTTTCCTTCAGCAAGCACTGTTGTGTCATTTATTCTTCGATAACTACTATTTATTTTGCTGCCATTACAGCTTCTGTCTTTCTCAGACATAGTTTCTTTCTTTGGAATAACATAAGTTCTTATGCTCATAAAATCAGAATCCGATTTAGTGACCCTGCTGTCAGATTTTCTTCCTGAAAGAGTTATCCATTTGATGATAACATTTGACTTTAGTTGAACAGTTATCAAGCAACTAAACTGGACGCATGGAGAAGATAAAAAATGACCATAACAATTATAAGTGCTTTCTTATGGGATGCATTTCTTTCTGTATCCTATCAGGTCTGTATATTTTTCTTCAGACAGTCAGTTGGATGTATTCTAGCTATGCATGGTTTGAACAATATTTTCTCCCCAGGGAAACTTCATGCCATCAAATATTCCCTTTTAACTTCTGGCAGGCTTCAACCTTAACGTTCAGATTTTACATCGGCTTCGGGCTTAGAATTTTGACTTGACTGTCATTCAAGCAACAGTTGCCAATACCTGCTGAGTTCTTATTAAGAGCTGTGTAATTGGCAGCATTGACGTCTATGGACTCTGACCATAGTAACTTCAAGACCAAGGATCATCTTGCATGCGGAATGAAATATCACCTGTTAGACTGGCCTAGTTTTGGAGGCAGAAATTTCCCAGATGACTTCTGAGATGTTTTATTTGCTTGACTGGCAAACAAAGCTTTGGGAGGTAAGGCACAGGTGAAAACATACCACAGAAGTGTTCAAGCTGGACATCACAGGGCTGTGGACAGCCATGCATTTGTTGGACGACTGTTTGCAAGCTGACATCAGTAACAATACTTCTTTGGGATCTGTCGCGACCTTGACATCAGACAGTCCTTTCGCCCAAGCAGATGAACCCACCAACCACAAGAATGAAAAGACCACAGTGACGATGAAGTCCTACAGAAACAAACAGAAAGATAAAACAGTGAAAGAAATGTGAGTTCTAAAAGCAAATCATTTAGTTCATATAACTATTCGGTTTGCCTTTTGGAAAATTCCAAGATGCCATAGCATTGAAACCAGGGAAAAGTGGAAAAACAACGACTAAAAAGTTTGTGACATTACATTTATATTTCTATAAAATAAATGATAGTAATATATTTTGTAAAGCTTACTGTATCCCAGGAATGATGCTAAGTACTTATAACCCTCATCTAACTGTTCCTACAAGACCCCTGTACGGAGGGTGCAATCATTATCCCGTTCGCACATGGCCAACCCTGACAGATGGGGGGACAGCTTCTCTGAGATCCCCACAAATGAGTAGTGATGGTCAGGAGTGAAACCCGGGCAACCCGACTCCTGAGCCCATGTTCTTAACTATCATGTTATGATTTCAAACATTTAGAGAGATTTGCTAATTGGTAAAGATCCTGGATGGCCATATTCATTCATTAATTCATTCTTTTAACAAACCTAATGGGACTGTGCTAAGTGGGAGACAATAATAGCTATAATGTTTTGAGTGATTTTTTTTTATAGGTGAGAGGATTTATATGGCATTTTCCATAAAAATATCATGTCAAAGAGCATTTTTAGTGTGATTTTGAAGATGAGGAAACTGAGGCCCAGGTATATCAGGCAACACCTGGAAAGTAGCAGAGCCAGCAGACCTGAGAAAACCATCTGATATGAGTTCAGGGGAAAGAAGCTTCTTTATTCATATCAAACAGAATCACAATGATGTAAGAGGATGAATATTTTAAAGAAGCCTCTCCAAGTTTCTCACGTGAGTCAAAAGCTCAGCCTTTTGTCAGGTAGACCTGGGACTGGATCCTGACTTTGCTGCTTACTAGCTTTGTGTCGCTGGGCAATTTGCCAGACTACTTGAAGCCTCAGGTTAGCTCTGTAAACGGGGACAATAACACTGCTTGTCTCACAGGGTGGTTGTGAGGACGGATCATATGTGTTTGCTTCTTTCCTCTAAGATGTCAGCTCCATGAGAGCAGGGACTTTGTCTACCTTGCTCATTCCGGGTCTTGGCAGAAAAGGAGCCATCAACATTTGTTGAGTAAGAGAATGAATGAAAGAACATGATCCCAATTTTGTTAAAAACATTTATAAATAAAAACAGATATGGTCCCAGTATCCATTCTGTTGGAGGAGAGACCTTGCTCAAATAATCACAGAAGAATGTGTACCAGAACATGGTGCCGACGGCTTTGCCGGAGGAGGATTCGGTGTCTTGGAAACAAACAAAAATGTGCGTGGGGCACTGGCTAGTCGAGGGGTCTGGGCAGCTGCACAGAGCAGGTCGCAGCCAGGGTCCTTTTGGGTTTGTCCCTTGGGTGGTTTTCAAAGCAGACTCATGTTGAATAATAAATCAAAGTGGCTTATCTGGAAGGCCTATGAATTAGCCTCTAGAGGGAGTTTGGGCTTCTCTTGACTACCAGCTTACCCCATGCCCGAGGAGTTTGCTCGTTGGCACTGGTCAGGACTGAGAAGGCTTACTGGGCCACGCTGCCAGCAGAAGGAATGTTTAAATGCCAGGAGGGAAAGACCGCTTGTTTACTAGGAATTTTGGCTGCTGAGGCCGAACTTGCTCCCCCACAACCCTCTTCCTCTTTGAAAGCCCAGCAGCAAACGAACTGGCCCCGGAGTAAAGAGGTCTGGCTGGATGTGTCTACATATCTAAATGTTGGCAGAAAAGTATGCCTGGCTTTCTGACCCCTTGCACTCCAGGAGTTTGAGAGCCTAGACTCAGCCCGGGCTGTTCAGGGTTTTCAGTGAGCGCCGGGGTCCGCAGGAAACGGCATTCTCTCCCAGCGGTTGGTTATTGCTTTTGCTGCATTGACCCATAACTGCAGAAACAACTAAGATGCCCAAGTCCTGGACCAGAGGTGAGGCAACTGTTGAGACCAGTTTGGATGCCTTAAGAATAACTGGGGGAAAATCACATTTGTAGTGTGAGTCAAGGATGAATCTGGAAACTCGGAGATGCTTATTGAGCCTCTAATCAATCTTTTTATTTTTATGTATTTGTTAGCACTTCCAAAATATTTTGGAGGCTGCCATTGAACCAACTAGACGAAAATGGCAAAATGTAGGCAATTACCCACCAGCTTTGTCTACCTGACATGAAACATCTGGCATTGCAAACACATTTGGAAAGCACCAGCTGCCAGGCAGCGTGCAGCTGGGGCAGCTGGAGGAGTGAGGCATGCCGGGACGCGGCAGGAGGCACAAAGCCCAGAGCAGCCAGGCCTGAACTCCCGTTCACATGTACCCTGGGCTGCGCTGTTCTCCTGTCACGTGAACAAAGCTATGCCATCACAGGTTTCTGTATATCTAAAACTTGGGAGGTATACATGATATCACACTTAGACACACACACACACACACACACACACACACGTTAGAGAAAGAAATAACACATAACTACCTTTTTTCTCCACACAATGGCAAAGAGTAAAGTCATGGATAATTAAAATATCAGATAATCCAAAGTCATTTCTTAATTTGTCTCAATATTTTTAAGTGGCCCCCACCACCAACCTATATTTAAAAATGGATGTGTCTTATAGGAAATCACGCGAGTAAGCTACACGGAGAAATTTACTTGGAAACGCCGCCAGACCTTCTGACCCTGCTCTGTGCGCTCGCGCCAGCGCCGCCCTGAAGCTGGGAAAGTGCACGAGTTACATAATCTTCGCGTGGGCAGGAGCTGCCAGAGACATGCAGGCTGTCAAACGCTCCTCTGAAAACATAATCCTGTTAATGCGCTGCTCTACGCTGCCGATTATCTCCCGCGTGGGACAGGGGAGCGTTGATACGCACGGCTGGAAATAATGCAACAGAGAAAAATGGATCAGGGATTTTTAAATTCTCTGTGCTCCACTGTTGATATCTGTAACCCGAACTAGGACGGCCTAACTTAGAGGGTGACTGTGAAAATGAAATTTGGATGAAAGTGTTCAGCAGGGATGCTGGAGCATTACAAGAGTTGAATTAAAGGGTGGGGTGATGATGGTGGTGAAGATGATGTAATCTTGAAGCATGGCTTGATTTTTCTCATTGCCAATGGCGTTTGAACATACACTCAGCTGCAGGGATTTAATTTGCTTTTTCAATCTGTATTCTGATGTCCTTTTGAAAAGAGTTTCATCTGCTGAGGTTAAATTCGTATGGCCAACATTTTGCTAATATAGGCTAAATTTTGAGCCTTTGGTTCTTTGTGTAGGTAGAGCTTCAAACCTACTTTGCAACAATGGGGCACACGCACATTGTGTGTGCGTGTGTGTGCGTGTGCGTGTGTGCGCGTGTGCGCGTTTCATCTGGTTGCAGTACATGATTGGAGAAGAACTGGGGTGACTGGGTTGAGACATGTAAGGCCCTCGAAGGAGCCTGCCCGGGAGAATGGCTCCATCGCTGCTCCGTTCAGAATGCACATCGTATGCGCTATTTCAGCTCTGTTCACAAGTTGGTCTCATTTCACTAGACTGTCATGTTTCCTTGGGGATGGGACAGTCTTAAGCACTTGTGTCCCTAGTGTCTCGCCAAATATCCGCCACGTGTACAGCTTCTCATGGACATCCCCTGAATGTGAGCAGAAAGGATAGAGTCTTCACGTTTGGCTGAGTCACTCAGAGGGAAAATCATTTGGATTTCAAATATTTTCCTGTTTCCTAAATTAGCACAAAGATATAAGAAACTCATAACACTGACTGCCTATAAAAAAATGAAATGACTGGAAGATAGGGATGAGAGAAGGTTCTGGGGGTTTGTTTTATTATTTCCTTTATGCCTACCTTCCTTCCACCCCCGCCTGGATACCCTTTTAATGACTGGATTAGAAAATTTTTGCGCAATTTTAGAATAGACTTACTTTACTGGATTTGACCTTTGAATCTTCTGTTTAGGGGAATGATTATGATTATATTTTACACTCCCCTCTCACAAACATTTTTTTTTTTTTTGCAAGTGAGCAAAAGGTGTTAGCTCAGTTAGGTTCATGAAAAGAGCTGCTATTTTTTAAGCATGCCTCATGCCTTTCTAGAATTGAAGACCCATTATCCTGTCATGTTTCAACCCATCTGTCAGCCTGCAACAGATGGTTCGGATGAAGAACTTCGGAAATGTCGGGAGGGAATGATTCTGCACATCACCCTCCACAGCTGAAACTCGGCCCAACTTCAGGACAGGCCTTCCCCGCCTCCCCACTCTGCACCCAGGTGAGCGCGAGGGAAATATTACATTTGAATTACAAATTAGACACCATTCTTCAAAAAGATGCCTACTAGATTGACAGGTGTTGGCTTTCCTCTGTCAGTTGGAGCGCAGACAGACTGGCTGTGTGGCCTTGGACTATTTCTTTGACCTTGTAGACCTTTATTTCCTCAACTGAAATAGTAGAGAATTAATAGCTTGTCCTAGAGAGTTATTTATTGCAAAAATGAGAGAAAAAAAGGATAATCTGTGGAACAATATCTTACACAACCAGGCCCAGGATAAGTTTTCACCATCAGTTCTTCCCCCATTTCTTACTATGTTTATTCCACATCAAAGGTTCTGTGTCTCCGGCGGCAGGGTTGGGCCGGGGCACAGGACAAGGAGGGCGCAACGCTGGGGGCGTCACTCTGCAGTGCGTGCTGTGAACCCACTGGAACGCTGTGCTGGTGTTTGATGTGTGACCATGAGGATGGATGGGCAGACACGTGGAACTGGAATGGCATGACGTCCTCAGAGGTGCATGTTTTTGTAAGCCTGGTGGTAAGGGGGCTTTCTGCCCAAACCCTCTTAAAGAGAGCGATCACACGTTTTCTTGGTTTTCACTTTCAGTCTGGATGAAATAAATGTTTGTGATTTTCACCCTGTTTAGGCATAAATATTAGTTGAATCATAACTATGTTTCATGTTTTATTTAGCTGATTCCACTTCAGTTTGTCACTTCTGTCTTA